TTTTTCTGAGGTATGCCAAACCCAATGCAAAAGCCAGCTGTTATGGGCCTACCAGACCTATCCCCACAGAATTAAACACTTTACTACTGTTTAATTCTGTGTGGTTGGGGAAGATTAGGGCTAACAGTGCATTTAGCGCCAACTACAGGACGATAATGAGTAAACAAGACAATGAAGAAATGTTCAGTTTCTGAGGCGGGAAGATAAGCCATCGTCATACATGTACATCATGGAATTCTTTCTGAAATGTATGGTCTATCTGCCTTGAGTAGAAGCACCCCCTCATTGGTCGAAAAGAGCCATTTCATGCATGTTGGTGGGGAGGGTTTATTTACTGTGATGCGTGTACTTCATAGTCTCCTGTGGTGCAGTTCCCACCAAAGGAGCCTCCATTGCTAGGAACATTGTGCCCTCCCATGGTCCCACCCAGGTCTCATACATAACCCTAACTGAAGAGACCGAAAGTGCCGTCCAATCTGGGCTAGGTGACAGGCCCAGGCTGAGAATAAGATTGATGGAGAAAGATATTCGCCATGTTTAGGAGGTTTACCCCAAGAACTGTGGGGTATGCCTACGGGATGTTTAAAGTCACTCATCTGTGGGACTTGCGGCCATGTTTGATGATACAGGGTTGCAATGCTATCTGTTTTTTTAATCCAGCCTTTGAGGTATCATGACCGGTGATTCAAATTCAACTTTTCCAATCAAGTTTTCACGTGAGAGAAACCTTAAGGTACTTACATGCATAGACCACCAGTCTTGCGCGGTAAAATAAAGTTGAAAATCAGGCAGGGGGCCTTGGGCCAAGTCCTGCATGGTAGCCAAGTTCTCATTGTTCGAGTCCGAGTCCAGAAGGTTTAAGTCCAAGTTCAAGTCTGACTCAGAGTCTTTGAAAATCCACTGATCTCCACAGCAACTGACAATAACCTAACACACAAGTTACTAGTATATATCAGGAACCAAGTTTTTCATTGACTTTCGTGTCAGGGTTAAAAGGCTAACATACAGTATGTTTGTAAATAAAGTGTACGTGCAATGTTAGATTTCTGGAAATACTGATATGCCAAAGTTTGTCAAGCTGACTAAAACGACTGGGATTGTGCCTTCTTATCTATGGCAATTAATGATGCATCCAAGTGCCTGGCCTTCCCACATTACAAGGCCAGGTATCTCTTGCACATGTCAGTTGGCCTCCATGTATAAATAAAGTTAGAAAAGCAATGTTAGAATTCTGGAAATACATGTAGGGCCTACTTTCATACAGGTATGCTAAAGTGTGTTGAAACTAGCTTGGAAGATTTTATTCATGCTGCAGCCAAGTGCCTGCCTTCAAGAGTTGAAGAGACCGAGTGGACTTGGGACCGAGTTGATCTGAGATGGAGTTGACTCGGAGTGAGTTGATTCTAGACCAAGTTGGCGACTTCACATTGATGAGTATACAGTGCCATGTTTCGCTGGACCATATCCAAATCTTTACAAAGGCAATTCATAAGAGTCCAAGTTGCTCAGGCTATTATTAACTGATTTACATCATCCTGATGCAGTCGCGTCAATTATCATTTCAAAAATTCAAATATGCTTAGCATACCAACACGGCCAAAGTGAAGTTGGGCTTGTTGGGTAATAATAGTAGTGATGATCCTAGGATTAGTCTCAACATGGTCACTGTCTCATCACTCTCAAACTGAGGAACTAGGCCTACATGTAGGCTTATGAATTCTATTCCTGTAAAGTGTGGAATAATAAAAGCAAAATCGACTGTACTTACTCCATTCAAGATGCTCCATCAATCAATGTCATCACGTAGGTGTGCCAGCCATTCCTCAACGACTAAGTTCTTGATGACACACGAAGTCGCGAAAATAAACAGATTAAAGTAGCTCTACTAAGTGGAGCGTTAGTATTCCACTTTTTCGAATTTTGGACGGGGTTGATCCCACTTAGGGAATAGCAGACCTATGATGTAGGATTGAAGCGACCACCGTACGCTCATGTATACACACGTGCACGCGTGGGGGCGCACTCGCGTGTTGCTTATATGCAGTGTGTCTGTACTGTCTGGTCGGTCCGCCAGGAATATTACAGACAGCAGAGCTAGCTCGACATGACAGTGGAGTCAAATATCGAGCATTAAATGTCGCGCGCTGATTTCCATTGCACCCTCTCGTGACTTCATTTCACCAATAATGGTGAAATGAAGTCACTAGAGGGCGCAATCGAAATCGGCACGCTCGGTAAACTCGATCGAGTTCTGCCGTATGGGTCGATCGATGCAGCGCGAGTTTTGCGTAGTGACGTCATGTACCGAGTGCCTGGCAGGGTGCACCCTCGTACTTAGGCCAGAAATATGGCCGCCGAGCTCATTAATAAAAGTTATACACTCAAACTATTCTATATTAGAGGGGTCCTGGAAGCCATGGAACTGGGGAATTGAAAAAATACGAGACTGAACCCCTGGGCCGGACTCAGGGCTTCCAATTCTGAGCAATGTGGATGCAATCGGCCGGGGGTCCGAAAGTGGCACTATTTGAGCCATTTTGCAGAGGGGTGGTTTTTCAAAATGGCTCCTTTTCTGGGCAGGGACATTTTCTTCATTTTAGAAGTGGTCTGCTTCTGGTGAAAGTTTCTCAAAAATTCATTGGTCAACCCCCCGAAAATGAAAGGGGACATGTGGAACATCATTTTTCTGTGCAGCTTGAACACCTGTGAGAGTTGTGAGTATTTTTAAAATATTTGTGAAGTCTGGGGATTTATCACTGCTGTCTATGGGAATTTATTTCTAGTGGTGCACCCTGGCATTGATCACCATTTTCGACTGCATAGGACATCGCGCATTGTTTGTGTACAAAATGCACGGCCGAACAATGGCGGCGCTTCAGGAGGGTAAATGTGGTGCTGTATGCTGTGCATTTCTGGTCAACATAACCTTGTTTTTCATGGGATGATGGCTACACGCTAAGCCCTCGGCCTCCCTCGCGAAAATAAGCCAAAAATAAACAGAAAATGCAAGAATATCATTTCTGGAAACAACTGACCATTTTCTTATTGTCCTATTGCGCATGTCCTGTCCAGTGTATATAGTGGAGATCAGTTGTCTTTAGTCAGCGTGTTTCGCGTTTACGCGCGCCGCATGTCGTGCAGGGGCGCGAGCGTGTAGCTTTTGTAATGTGCGAGTGATTGACTTTACGTTTATGTATAATTCATTCCGAACAGCCAGTAAGCATCATTTCTGAATTCCACACGACCAGCTGGGGCTTGTGAAGGAACGTGCACGCAGCCCAAGGAGTCGAGGATGAGCTCACGGACATGTATAAAAAAATCTGGACTCGCAATGCCCTTAATCAGCTTATAGAGTCATTGAATCCACTCGCAGCCATTTTACCGAGCCGAATACAAAGCTTTCCTGGCAATGCCCGCCTTTGTTCTTCCTGACGTCAATAGAAGGAAGCCAACCATGCATTTGTTTTCGGCTCGGTAAAATGGCCGCTGATTGGCTTCTTTTTCATTAGTAAGCGTTGCAAGTCCAGGTTTTTTTTTTATATACGTCTGTGGATGAGCCACAGACGCCTTTTCCGCAGTTGGTTGTGAGCGTGCTAAGAACCACTATGCGCATGCCTAGAACTGCACGCGCATGCCCACATCAACCAAAAAGGAGGGCTCTTGTGTCTGCCGCCACCAAGTGTCTCAAAGTTTCCCATTGAGGATGATTTTCATCAGTATTTCGATGTCTGTTATTTGAAAAAGCCGACATCACGAACACGCCCATGGCTCTAATGCTTATTTCTCCAGTCAGGCTACGCCAAATTCGAAGTTTACTGAAGGGGGAACTTTCCCGGTTCAAATTTACTGGGTGAAGTTGAAATTTACATTTCCACCCCGTACAGGTCTCAGCGCCTACTTCAGAACCATCTGCTGACCCCCGTTGACAGGCTTGAACTTGGGGGGGGGGTCGGAGGGCGTGTAGTCTTTGTCGTCAGTCGTAAGATTAACAGCCCTTTGGAGCGGCAAACATCAACAATGTTGGGGGCAGGCTACACAAAGAAAGGTCACTGCGAGGTCACCGTAGACTACCAACCGCGCTACGCGAACGCTTATGAACACCCACCCAGGCACGCTTCGTTTATTGTTTCACGCGGGTTAAAGCGAGTGGTTTATAAAGAAACGATAACAAGTCGTACTTAACCATCTCCTCCTAGATCCTTCCCAAAATAATTTTGAACAAACGATGCGGGCGCGTTTTTGTTGCTTTGAAGGGTAGCTGCAAGGAAATTCGTTTTAATACACACCTTAGAATACACCTTTTTGTTTCACTTAACCTCGTTGACGATTTTTGCGTCACCTTTTCAAAATGTGTCTGGCTGCTATTTTGATTCTCATGCTGAGTATTTCCATATTCATGAGCCTAACCGTGATGTCATCCCAGAAAGAAAACCTCACTGTGCTTTTGGTCTGTGCACACAAATCTCTTGCAAGTTTCTAGATTTTGCCGGCGGCCTCTTTGTTGATGTTTGTAGGTCAAAGAATTTCTGCGCCAACATTGACATTTTGGTGTAAACATGAGCACCGTGCCAACCTTTTGCACACAAAATGTCCCCAGTCTTATAGGATATCTATTCATTTTCAGGTATTTTTACGACAAGTGTTAGCAATGCCATAAAAGCTATATCTTTCATTGGTTCGTCTCCGAAGCATCTGGTGAGATGTTCATTGTTAGCAAGCTTTTTGCAAATAATGCCGGTCGGAACTATTTTTACAAATTTTCAATTCTTATTTGTTACATTTTCTCCTTTTTTCAGTTTTTGAACTTATTTTTAACAAAGGTATATTGCTACCTAATATTTTGATGACTTCCCATCCCGCCAAAAATCTGCTTGTCTAATTTCTACATTGTCGGATAAAAATAAAATGTTTTTGACACTCTTTGGCTTCTACGCACAAAAAAAGAATCCTGTCTATAAAAAAGACCCTGAGGTGCTCCTGTCGAGATATTTCTGGACTGTACTTGTCTTTGTGTTCGAAAAAGCATCCAGGTCAGCCCGAACGTTCAGGCAAGTTGGTGTTCGATCGTGTAGCACCCAACCCCCGTAGGGGGTCCGGCCTCGACGCGATAAGAGATTGACATATCGCCGTATTAGCGATGATTTTTTTTTTGTATTTGGCAAAAGTTCAAAGTTCAGCCCGCTGCGGGGCTCGTTGGCTTCTCCCCGCGAACAGTCCGCCAGCGCGTAATCCGTTGCTCCGCTCGGCCAAATCCCCCGACACTACACAAGGGATTACCTCTTTCCTTTTTTTCACATTTCGACAATCATGCCTTTTCCTCTTTTTACCCCGTTTTTGCTCCAGGATTTTTTTTATGCTTGCCGCTGGTTCTCCAATTCTTGTATTTTTTTCACTCGCTGTTGGAACCGACATCAGGAGACTACAGAATTGAATTTTCGCCAGGTTTGGTGATTTTGTATCGAGGTCAGTGCCTGGTCGTCGTTCGAAGCCTCGTCGCCTGAAGACAACTTGATACAAAATCTATAGCGGAAGAGCCTCAAACTATTTGTCTCAGAACATATATTTCGTAGGCCTGTACTGAATAAATATATTGACCTAATAAAATGCTCTCCCAAAAATACACAGGATCAGGCCGAAAGCGAAATATTAATTTTAAATGCGATGGGGAGAGGGGTAAACAAATTTTAAGCTGAACTTTGGTAATGAGTACTTTGCGATCATATAGAAGAAAAAGTATGTTTTGACTATTGGGGGGTGCTCTCTATCAGCAGTTTTGACAATTGGGAACTAAAATGTGTATAAAAATGACACACGAAAAGAAACTAAATTGCCAAGTTAATAATAATATTGAAGAATTTTGTAGTCACTGTTGGTAAGTATGAATTGTTGCGTAAATGTTATGAAGAATGACAAATAGAAACGTCGTATTTCAGCATCGTAAAATAATTTCATGTAAGCGAATCAGTTACGCCCACTTTCTAACACGTGTAGGCAAGCCATATCCAACTGGTTGTGAAAGTTTAAAAAAACTTAGCTGATTTTTATCACGAAATCCTTTGTTCTCTTAGTTTCACTATCTGTCATTGTTTTGGAGTATATCGATGTGGATTGATTTTTAGTTTATAAAGACCACTTTGACAGTTTTAGAGTTTATTACTTCGCTGGACCGTTGCCGTGGGGACTGCGGAGCATGTCAAAAGTGTCACGGGCTTTTCCTGGCCATTGGAAAAACAATACTTTGGCAGTGATTTGGTTCGTGTACTGACGCATCCCGCGAATGTCAAAACCTCTTCGTTGCGAGCAAATTGGACATTAGGTTTGTCAAATGCCAGCGCACTTTGGTGAACCTGGTCCCCGTGCCGAGAGGCCGCGGCACCGTGACGTTGTCAATCAGTGGCGCCGCCGGGTGTCGGCGCGCGACGCCCCGTCGACACCGTGCGTTCTGCATCTGCCACCTCAAACTTGACAGGACATGCGTGTGACCCGGAGTTGGCAAGTACGGGTCGTTAACGGGAACACGACAGAATTTTCGCTTCAAAGGCTCCCTTTAAAGTGTTATGATATACATTGTGTATGTGGTTGTCAACCACTGACGTGAACTTTTTGAAAATTTCAAATGCGCTTTTCCATTTAGAGAAAGACAGCAAAAAGAGTGTATTGAAAGACTTCCAGTTCAGGATAAATCCCGATGGAGCATACCGATAATAGGTACAAATATAACTTCTGTCAAATTTTGTAGTTCAACTCATGACATACGGAAACTCGATAAATAGATGGACCCATTGCAACTGGTACTCGGCGACATTTCCTTTGACTTGGCAAGGAACCATTGAAACAGGTGAAGTGCAGCCCCTCTATTGTGCACCTGTTCTCGAGAAAACAACTGTTTTCTGTGAAATAACCGAAGCAACACCGATGTTTGTACAGAAACCTCTGCTCAGGATTATCAAATAAAACGATAATTAGCATGTTCCAAGAGCTGGGAAGAAGCTAGTTCGCATGCGCAATCACCTAACCAATGGTTGCGTGCTTCTGGTGTGGAATGTCTGTGCCAGTAATGGAAGCAAGGGTGTATTTCCGCTAAGCTAAGCGGGAAGTGTACTGCTTAGTGTGTTTAGGTGCAAAACAAAAAAGTGGCTGAAAGCCGACCAATAGAAATGTGCGATGCATGATAGCTTCGCGGGTGACCGACTTTCGCCGAGCAAAATTTGTACGTAGCAAATTTCTGTCCTGAGTTCTGTGTTATAATTTGGGCCGAAGCACCCAATGCCATAGCCGACAGGGCTGTCAAAATTGGTCTCCTTTAACGGCTAAAGCGACGTTCCGTCGTCGTGACTACCGATGGTACACCGAGTGCTTATCGCACATGCCGCCCGCGAGATAAAAACGGCCCTGGGTTCACGGGTGCAACCGAATACTCGTATGAAACAATCCCAGGTGTCAAGGTCGCGCGTTTGATGAGACTTTGGGGAGTTGATCGATTGAGACACTCGGCACCTCGACACTCAGTAAAAACAATCGACCGTGATCTTGGGAAATCTTGAATTTTCTCGCACGGGCGTCGTTCAGTGTCACGTGAATAAGAAGGTCTGTCGGTTCGTTTAACGGTTCAAACTTTGACATTCTTAATCGATGTAGAAAGGTTGAAGTATTTTTTGGTGAAAGGGGTTTTTCCGAGTTCATATCTCATGGGTAACTGATTTGATTTTATCTTTTCAAAGCACAGGCAGGTGTAGGCATTGTCAGGTCGATGTGAATGCTTCAGAACTTGAATGAATCCGTCAAATTTGTTTTCGTAGGCATCGCCGTCATCCGCGTCATCGATGTGACTGTCCTCGCCAATGCAGCTGCTGTTCCCATTGTCTCTGCTATCATCGTGACCAAAGTGACTGCCATCGTCATATACGCCATCTGCCAGTCGTCTTTGGGTGTCACTGTCGTAATCACTGTCGGATCTCATTGCCAGAGTCACCAATATGATTGCCATGATTTCCTTCGTTTATTATACATTACATGTATTGGCAAAAATAGTTACTCAAGGTGAACAAAGCAGACACGTCGACCCATCGACTCACCGATTGATCGATTGATTGATCGACTGATTGATCAACTATTATATGGACATTTCAACTGTCTAGTTTCACTTCACATACTGTTGAGAAAAAACATCTATGCTATTTTTCACGAGAAATTGAAGTCTGTAGGCTCAAAATCGATTGCTTTCCGCTAGTGAGGTGTGGACGCCACATCTGGTCCAATTTCCTTACTGAAATTTGATAATAAACGACAGTTAAACGTGAATGCCTCAGATTATTAAAGTAGGCTATCAAGCATAGACTGCATAGTGTTAAGCTTCCCCCGAGAAAGGCACTCGTCATGACCGATTACTTATGATCGACATGGATTTTTTGTCCGAATCTTTACTGCTTGCGGCGACCGGGATAAATTGCACGCAACGCTGGCAACCGGATCTCGCCCAAAAGTAGTTCCCGCCATTTTCCATTTTGCGCGAGCAAGGCAGAAAATGTACTCCCCGTCCGCCCGCGAAGTTGGACTTCCTCGTCTTCCGCGGTGGCCAAATCCAATCACGATCGCATTTGAAAGAGGGGGGGGGGACACAGGAGAGATGCGAAGAAAATAAGGGCCAGCTCGGCAAATTGCAGTCCGTTGCCATGACAACCGACAGCGTAGCTGAAGGCATCCGAATCCGGCGCTCGATCTGCGCTCTATTGTGAGGAAGGACAGAGGAAAAAAAGAGCGGTGTTTATGTTAAACCGGTCCCTTGGGTATTCCTATCCTGCTGTTTTTGTGCCGAGGACAGCGGCAGAACCCGCCGTTCGAGCAGACGGAGGGAGATGGAAAGTCATTATATTGAATGCATTTAATTTTGTAGCTTGCAAACCTGAATAGTTTGCCCGTTAGAAAGGTTGGAGTTCTTAGGCAGATTTCTAGTCAATTCTAGGGTCATTTAGGGGCCACGCAACCTCCAGGGAAACTGTAAGTAACGCTGTCCACTGCGTTTTTAAGGAGGGGATAAATGTCTACTCAACGGGTCTTATAAACGTTATTGTTTAAGACCAGCCACATGACGGGCTCTCGACCAGTAGCGTGATTCGACCACCAGAATAAGAAGCCGTTACTGCGGTGGCACAACGCTCGTGGACAGGTGGTGCGCGCGCGTTACATGCCTCTTCGACCAATAGGATGTCTCTATTTGCCAAATACACGCGCGCGTCCAGCTGAAGAATGTGCTTGTAAATTGTATTAGGTGTCTGTGAACAAGGGGATAAAAAAATATGTGCTTGACCCGTCTTGAACGTGCGTTTAAGACTGGCTAGGGAGAATGGCGCGACATATGCGCGAGCTGCAGCCGAGGGCATCATCAGCGTTTAGTCTCCTGACGGCGCATTTATTCCAATTCGTTAATACCTTTTTAGTCAGGGAATCAAAAGAAGTCAATAAATGATGGATTTCCAACAATTTTGCTCTAGAATTTTACTTCATTTTCACAGCACCCCTTCCATTTTATGGTATATTCCTCGTGCAAGTTGTCAAAAGAAGCTCCTTATACGGATTTGGCGCGCGCGTGGCGAGCCGCGTGCACATAGACTCTTGACCAATCAGAACCGATTAGATTGTCTCGTATCCAGGCGCCAGCGAGTGATTTACCCAGCGAGGCATTATCAAATGTTACAGGGTCAAGTTGCGCGTTGTTGAAAAGGCAAACTGTCTGAGGTACAATTTATGTATCAAATTAACACAAAAAGAGCACAAAATGCGAGCTGAGGGTGAAAGTAAATCGTTTGTCGTACACCAACAAGGGGATATATTTTTGCTCACCATAGTGAAATTCAGCCATCGTGAAATGGATGTTTCATGTTTATTGATCTCAGACGAGCACATTTAATTGAAAATTTTCTGCATTTTTGTGGGCATCCAGAAACCAAGGTCAGAAGGAACTAAAATTAAACGCGGGTGCCGACGAGAAAATAAAAAGGCAGCCCTGAAGTCAACAAGCCCGTAAATCAAACCGCTCAAGAAAGTTTAGGAAAAGAAGCCCTCAACTCCCAGCCTCCCGTGGTAATCGCAAACGACAGGCTGAATTTATATATACGCCTCGCCGAGCCGCGATATCCCGAAACTCAACGGTCCGCCGGGTACATACCCCTTGGAAATGATAAATCTCCTAACGTCTGAAACCGCAGCATAAGTAAATCACAGAGCCGATCAGTATTGTTATGGAAAGGCCCTCGTCCCTAAATCAAGGAAGTTGAGGGATTCTATATCAACAGGCAGGCCAATTTGGCTTGGTTCACACGCTGTAAATTTGCCAGGTTTTGAAAGGAAAATTCAACCCACGGCGACGCCGCAAGAAAAGGACAGTGGCTCAATAAATTACGCGGTGCAAGTTCTTTGCGATGTGATGATAGTGTGTCAAAACTTAAGAGTGATTGGAGATGCGATAGCCAACACCAGGCCCTTCGAAGTATACGGCTTGTTTTAGACTCGATAGATTGAAGTTTCTTTTTAGACTGTTTCCAAGTAAACATCCCCTGAGGCTTGGATGGTGTTCAGACTTCAGAAGGGAAACATTTGTTGATCTTGCCAACTACTTAGTGTCATCAATAATTGTTTAACGAACTCCGTGGGTCCGACACAGGCGAGCGTCAACATATACATAGGCCAAGACCACCCATCTTTCAATTTGACTTTAAACTCGCCGTACATTCATTATAAGGCAACCTAATCCAGACACGATTTCAGAATATGCTACCTACATTACTGCAAAATGAAACTCCCAAAGTAAGAAATTGTCGATGGGGATGTTAACGTTGGCGTCTGAGTTCAGGCTGTTCTCCCGCGATAGTCTTTTCTCAAGAGGAAAGCTGACTATTTGGACAGATTGCACGCGCGCTAGTCTTCCTTGTGTATACCTTTATTGTCTCACCTGCGGCCAATGCAATTTCACCAGTTAGACAGCCCACTACCCACGCAATACTTATTCCACCACAGAGTATATTTTGCGGCAGTCTTTTTCACGTGGGCCTACTTTTTCAGACTGTACAGTGGACCACCCCTCCAGGATAATGGACTCTCCTTCTTGCTCAAAGGCAAGGCCTGGATATATACCTGGTTATTCTGGCAAGAGTCGTCACTGTTGTCAGAGCGCAAATCACCAAAGCGTACCGCGTATGTACATGTACACCTGTGTCTATACGCTGCAGAGAGATACAGCCGCTGTCGGCTTCAAATTCAATTGCTGCCACCGCGTCAGAGAGATCGGGCGCCTGCTCAATCACTCTGCCAAAAGCCTTTCATTACCAGCGTTCTCATCGGGAAAAAGAGAGTTCCTGGTTTGCCGTTTACGGTGATTTAACTCTAGACCATTAAAACCGTTTGCTGGAGCGAATCCCCTGTAATTGCCGCATTTGGCCGTTCGAGGACTCGTAATTTTGTTGAGTTTTGAGCATCGGTGGTCGAAGGATGAGACCGGCGTGCGTTCTGATCCTGTGCCTGCTGTTGTCGGCTGAGGTGATGTGGCTGGCATCAGCCGGGCGCGGGAGAGGGAGAGATCGGGGCCGCGACCGGGACCGCGACCGGGGCGAGAGGGTCCGGATACGGAAGAAGCCCAAGGGCCGGGACTGCGGCCGCATCAAGGAGAACGTGTGCACGGGGGTCGGGCTGCCGTACAACCGCACCGCCCTGCCCAACGTGTTCGGCCACTCCAACCAGAAGCTGGTGCGGCAGGAGGTGCAGAACTACCGCTCCCTGATCGAGTCCGGCTGCTCCCCCTACATCCGGGTTTTCCTCTGCGTTTCCCTTTTTCCCGAGTGTCCTCGAAGGAAACGAGACGATCCCAGGCCGCCGTGTCGATCCCTGTGCGAGAAGGTAAGCTCCTCGGTTGTGTTTTCCCTGCTTGAGTTAATGTCGACATCATATTAGACCATGTCCGCGACTCAATAATTTGACTGTCAAGTGAACGTTATTTTCTGTTGGCAAATTCCTCGTTTTGTGATCGACCCGGGCTTGTTTATGCTTTCTGGAATCTGTGACTAAGATCATTATACTATTTTACTGAGTCTGAAACTCGGCGATGAAAACTCTTGGACATTCCAAATTCAACCTGCATAACCAAAATGTAGGACCTACCTGGATGGATCAGCCCAACTTGCCAAATTTTCAACTTTCATCTCTGGGGAGGAGTTCCATGACGTCACTCATTGTTCCATATAGTGGATATAGTATCAGCCATCAGAGAGTGATAGCATGTCTTAAATAATCAAATTTTGCAGGGAATACATCGAAGAAGTTACTAAGAAAATGAAATTTGTCAGAGCAGTCTCACAGGGTTTGTGCACAGGGTGTGATGTCTGTGGATATAACTGTTTCCCTGAGCTCTGAACGCATCTTCCGAGCTCTCGTGAAGAATTTTACACAGGTTTCAACTTACTCTTCTGACAAGTCAGTCAGTAACCCTGACTGAAATGCACAAACGTTCGGGGTACATGTACAGAGAGAACGGCAGGATAAACCCCTGGCATCGCAGATGCATACACCCTGTGAAGATTGTCAGCGCGCTGAGCTCTTCTCGCTGGCGCAGGAAAATAAAGTTGGAAGACATCTGCGCATCTGCGGGGTCAAAATAGTACACCCATCTCCCGCTGCATGCAAATGTGATGACGGTGTTATGAATTTCAAACATGCTGCTTGCACAGCGCCTTCAAAACCAGCCGTGATCAATTGGTAACCCAGTCTGTAACGACCTCATGTGACATTTTAGGGTCTCCAGCACTGTGCGAGATTTTTTTTTATCTTGTGTTGCCTGTGGAGGTATGCAACCAGGTGTTAGAACAGTTGGTGGGGGGGGGTGCGGGCGATTATAGGCCCTTGAAGCCTTTAAAACCATCGAGAATGCGTGGCCGGAACACGCCGATTTGATTGACAATGGTATTTCAGCCACGCTTGTATGTCATCGGAGCATTTCATAGTCGTAGATGAGATTGCAACGGCCTGAAAATGATCGAGAATTTCTTTCACGGAGCAACATTCTTATTTCCCACTTGGAAGTAAACTGAAACACGAAATGAATTTTGACACTGCAAACGTGCCTTTCCTTGGTCATACAAGCGTGTTAAACTATCACTTATAAGACATTCTGAGCAGAAGGGGCTGGAACAATTAAAAAAAAACTTGGGGGAGTTGGGAGCGCTGAAAGTTCAAAATTCGCAATTCAGTTTTAGGTGGGTGTAAGGAAGTGCTTTAAATCTTTAACACCGAGAATATTTCAAGGAAGTGACAATCAACACAGTATACATGAGCATCATTCCTCAGCATAACCGATGTGGCATGCTCTGTCTCCGTCCTCAAATTTGATCAAAAATGCTTCTACACAAAGGCATCTTGTGCCATCGTCTCGCATTGCCAGCGAAGGTCGCAGCTGTACAAATCGAATCGCAGTGGAAATTAACAGTTCACATGGTCACCGCTTTATTTGACCATAGAGGTTTGTAGCTGTATAATTTGACCGTTGACTGGCGAGATCTTGGACCGAGATACCTTCAAAATGAGTCTAATTTCTTCGCGGCACGGTCGTATAATCTTCGTGGCTCGCAGACATGACCCTGAGAGTTGTTCCATTGTGCGCGCGCTGTACAATAGAGCACCGGCGCACGCACCTCTGAAATTCAGCCCGAAGCGCGGAAAATTCACACTTTGAAGCCAATACCCGGCACTCCATGAATTGCGATGGGAATTGGACGGCGATGTTTGTTGAAAAAAAGAAATAGGTCGTTGAATTTGAGGTGCGAAAATTACCAAATTTCTTGTGCGAAGGAAATTGTGTGATTGAATTATGAGAAAGATGGGTCAGTGCTGTTTGTGCGATCTAAAATATGTTTTCGAAGAGCCTGGTGGCTCTGAAAAGTTGTTTTTGCGCCGGGAAGAGAAAAAAAGGTTTCTTAGAACTTGAAGTTGGGAAACAGTGGTTGCCGCGCCGAACCTGCGAACACGTCAATAACAGCGCGTTTTTTTTCTTCTACTAGTATTTAAGTAATGCCCACTGCCCCCGATATTTTAGAAGTCAGTCAAACAGACCCGTGTCAACAACGGGGGTGCGATAATAAGAGAGATTTTTCTTCGCATGACTGTCAGAGTCAATATTGCTCGACACGGCTCCCGTCTTCGTATTTACACACTAAACGCTGTTTGGCTGCGGGACCCGTTTAATGTTTGTGTAAACTTCCAGGTTCTTCCGTCGACTCGTTTGCCTTCTTCTGTTTTGTCATGAAAGCCCGGGGCTTCACGCACACATGCCCGCAGACGAAACAATTTAAGGTAAACGGGGTGCAAGAACAAATAACTTTGTGATTGGGGCTTTCCAGGGCAAGTAATGAGTTTTGGGCATAATAGCCCGATACCTTGGGAAAATTTGACCTGGTTGGAGAGCAGGGTCGTGGCACATTGGCGAAGTAATGCGAAGGTTTGCAGAGAGGAAGGATTAAGACACAGTGCCACGTTTTGATTGCCGATTTTTATTGATTGCTGACAATGTGCGCACTAGACCGAGACACGAAAGACCTCCCTGACTCTTAATTGTTTGAACTGGATCGGAGATTTTGAAATAAGCCGGACTTGAACCCAGATCTGGTCAACGGGTTAGTCCTTCTTTGGTTTTCCGGCCGGCTGGGTCGATATACACGTAAACGTTTTGTCTTTTAGAGCGAAACTTCTCCACACTGAAATTACGAATTTTATAGTACAAGTTATTTTTATGGTGCTATCTCGGCAGATTGAGAAAAGGAAATCACTCTTGGAACTTGGAAGCTCGATTGATATGACTGAATGAATTTTCAACTAGTCTAAGTCGCCTTGTCCTTAGCTTCACAGAGTAAACTTTGTATTATGTGGACTTGAGAGCAAACATAGGCGTTCGTTCTTTCAGGGAGCATTTCGATTCTTAATCGATGTTGACGGGCAGGTCAAAGGTGACAATGGCGATGTTCATCGTAATGGCTTTTAGGGTCCTCTGTTCAAGGTGCCGGCTCATCCCAGTAGCGCCTTTTGAAGCGACGCGTCAAAGAAGCCTCGCAAGTTGTCAGCATCGAGGAGACTTTCTGTCGCTACGGAGGATTGGGGAGGGTTTTTGTGGAAGTCATCATCCACACAATCCTTTCCTTGAGAATGTCCTGCCACAACCGCAGACAAGGAAAATAACCTGTTGGATATGCAGCTCTGCGGTTCGCCCCTGTGGTGCCCCGAAATGGTTCATGATAACATTTCATTAACTTCAAATCAGCGTCTCAGTTTTTGCTGTAAGCTTTGACACCTTCTCAATCTCAAGGAGGCTGAAAGAAAAATCTGGATTCGCTATTCACTGTCATGAAGTCGTCTGCCCGGGCCGGCGAGGGGGCCGTGGGGGTATTGTTGGACGAGGGCAGTTGAGTGGCTTCTTCAAAACCCATCGACAAGGCTCGAGTGCTCTTATCTTGAACAAACCATGAACAAACCGACCCAGCGGAAAATTGAGGACCGCAACAACGGGTGGTCTCACTGGCGAGAAGTCTTAAAGGTGTCGCCGCGTCTGCAAAGTGCTGTTGTGTTTGTGGCGTGTAATGATTTTCTCGCATTGTTCTGTCCTGTGATTCCTCGTGCAAGCTGTCAACGCGAATGTTGGCAGTCAAGGGAAATCTTCCCAGTGAGAGGCGGACGGTACAGCAGCCGTACCCTATCATCGACGAAGTCAAGTAGGCCTGCTTCATTTTGGGATTCGTCGGCCATTCCCACACAGTCTCAACGGCGCCTGAATATATCAGTGAATTTCGTTGTTGTGAGTTGTGTGAGAAGCCGCAGAGTGTTTAATGGGAAAAACCCTTGGCGTTACAAAGCTACATGGTTAACTATAGCCCTTCCCAGAACTGGCGAGTATGGCTTATGTTTTTGATTGAGGGGACGAGTGTTTCTAATAACAAGTTGATTTTTTTCAGTGCAAACCGGAATAGTGCCTGTGTCATCACTCTTGGCCAAATATTTTCCCACACGAGATAGTCGGATGAGCTTCGGACGTGGTATTTTCATACCAGATCGCGTTGAAATGAAAGCACGTTCTTAAGCGAAGTTGCAGCTCGGTGGTGACGGGTTTGAGCTCTCCTAAACTGAAATGCAAAATGATGTTAACGGTTCACCGTATATGTATAGATTAAGCTCGGTCGCGCCGTGATGATTTTTGAGGATGGCTTTTTAAAGTGAAATTTTTGAAGAGCTTTTATCGGAGTTGGTTACTTTGGGGAAACTAGGGTTAAGTCCCTGTCACCAACATGGAAGCCAAGTAATATAGCAAGTTAGAGAAAAGGCTGAAATCTTTGCCAGAATTTGTTTTGTGGTCATCTGTGGAGACAGATTTCCCAAGCAGAATTACTTTAAAGTTGTCGTCGAAGGACGAACGCGTCGGGGAGGCACGATTCTTCGTCACTGCTCCTTTAAGACGGACCAAGCCGTTGCCATGACGACGGGAAGTGGTCTCGCTGTTCTGTTGGCGAAAGCAGGTGAGGCGGGGAGCGCGCCCTTCGGGAATGTTTGCGCGCTCATCGCAATCGAGACGGGAAATGTAAGCGATATCCATCCCAAAAACTATTGACAGAGAGGGTCGGGGTGCTTTGCCAAGAGTGAAAAGGCCTGTTGGAGATCGAGCTGTTCCCGTGGCTTGAAGCCTGCGTAACGCTTAATGAGACGGACCCGAGCCTTGAAAATGTCTTTTTTTCCCCTGAAAGGAAATCAGATACCTCTTTTGAATACGTCTGATTGCATTGCGTATTTTCCCCAGGTCTGTGTTTTCGTAAGTTTGTATCAGTTACATACAATTATGTAAAATGATCTTCGTATCAATTTACACT